TGAAAATCATCTTTATGAAAGAGGTTGAAGTTATTTTCAAGTTTTTTTAAAAGGAAAGAAACAAAACAATAAAAACCCATCAACTCCCACCCAGAAACATTGTTGTACCATCTCCACAATTAAATACTCAATGAGTCTGGTCTAGCAAAAAGAAGTCAAAGGTACCCGTCCTGAAATTCCAGCAAAATCCCAGCATTTCAGCACCAGTGGAAGAACAGTATTTCAGATAGGGATTTGCAGTATCTTGCTTTTGGACAGGCATGGTGTTGTGATGGCTCTGTGACTACAGAAGCTCATCAGCTTTTCAGTTGGTCACTTTTAAATTATGCATTGAGATTCTTAATTGAAAACATTTCTACAAAGTAGAAGACATCTAAAACGTATGGGAAAATGTATTTTAGCAAATATTTGCATAATTTTATTGTCCTGTTCTTTCTTGTTTATATAAAATAACTTGCATAATTGTGCAAACTCTTGTTACTTCTAAAACTTCTTGGTTGAGTTTAAGTGAGTTTAAACAAAATGGTTCTATGAAATTGAGAGCTTTTTTTCAATGTCAAGTTGTTCATTACAAAGCAGCAGAGACTATGAATTTGACAAGTTACTGAAAATATAATGGAATATGTAGGGAGGTCTCAGCTTTTGTTGTTTTAGGTTGCCAGCTTATACACATGTGGGGATTGTAAGAACTTCTTTTTTTTAATTCGTGGGTTCAGTATGCATGGTAACTTTTATTTGTTTGAATATTGAAGAGCAGCTGAGTGTTTAGGCAGAAAATCCAAATCCCTTCCTCTTGATGAAAATAGTGGTAACTGTGATTTTTCCAGATTAAAACCCAGTGGTTTGTGAGTTATGTTTTTCATTTTAAGATGCATCCTGTATAAAGTATCTGACTAATTAAATTGTGGATTTCATGCAGTGTTTGATCTTATGTTGATTCTGAAAAGGACCAGGCAATTTTTTTTTTTTTTTTGCCAGGATGATAGGGAAGAAAGTTACATTTGTTAGCATAGTATATAGCTATTTAGATTGTCTGTGATCCTGTGAGACTTTGCACTGCCTTAAAGGGCCTCTTAAAACTTGCCCTCACCTATAACTCTTCTCAATGCCAGTATTCCTGAATAGGTAACTTTAATCTTTCTCACTGTGGTGTAATTTGTTTTCACCCTCACTCTCCTGTCATTGTCAAGGCTTAAACTTTCTTTTAGAAAGAGTAAAATCGTCATTTGTTCTGCAGTCATGAGATGTATGGTGCTATGTACTATTAGAGAAGAATGAGAAATTGCAGTTGCAGTTAAGTCCAACTTTCTAGAAAGTATATTAATTCAGAGACGAAGATTTGCTTTCATATAAATTCAATAATTTGATACTAAATTGTGAATATGATCAGTATAAAATGCCCTGAATTTTTTAGGCTGAGTGATTGTCTTCATATGCTCATGTACTTGAAGGCATTTTCTCTGCAGAGGTTGGCAATTACTGATTGACTTTCACCTGTTGTATGCTGCAAATGCATCCAGAATCTTGAGCAGCTCACAGATATATGGAGGCTACACTGTAAAATAAAATAATTTTTAAATTATTTTAAAAATTTTCTGTTGAAAGTATAATCATTTTTGCTGGCAAAATGATGGATATTGTATGAATATTTGCTTTAGCTCTAGTGTAGATTATTTGAAATCATTATCAGTTATGCAGTGATATCTTTATGTGTTAGATTAGATTTTCTTGTGATTGATTAAGCAAATATTGTACAAAACACAGCATTATATAAGCAACTCTTCATGGTGGCTGTTTCTTCATGTCTTGTTGTAGTAAATGGAATCATGGAATAGTTTAGAGTAGAGTTGGAAGGGGCCTTTCAAAGGCCATCGAGTCCAACCCGCCTGCCACGGGCAGGGTCCTCTTGCACTAACCCACGTCGCTCAAAGCTCCATCCAGCCTGGCCAGGACTTGCAGGGATGGCAATACTGGAGTAGAAAGTTGTAGTCAAGCTGGTCTTGTGTTACTACGCGTGAAAAAGGGCGATGGCAAGGTTGTGCTAAAACTGTGCTCCTGTATGACTAAGACACTTGGAAAAGTTACCCTGTAAATATTGTGGAATGTAGGATGGGACTTTTCTTTTGATTCTTTTAATGCATAAAGCATCTGCTGCTTGTGAGGGAAGAAGTGTGTAAGCATCTTGGGGTAATACTCTGGCTGTAGGATTAGATTTGTGAACCACAGTCTTTGTATAAACAACAGGCAGTTACTTTTATCATTTTAACATTGATGAAGACCAGTGATTTTTATTTACTTTACCACATCTGTGTTGCTTAACACTTAAAATGCAAAACTGAATTCATTTTCTATAATGTTTCATGATAGCAGCTAAGGATATTGTTTGCAGCAGTCAGCAACTATGTGGGAGACTTGAGAAAGTACAACTTTGGCTTTTCCCTCTTGGCGTAAAATTATTATAGCTAGGAAAAAAATTGTTCTTAATTTATTAATAAATAATGAGAAACTGCAGTACACACTTGGAAAATTCTTATCTTAAAAGTCTGTTGATGATAACAACCTTTGACTGCATACTTCTGTTTATTTCCACTACTACTTCAGGCGTTAAACACTTGGGAGTTATGACTGGACTTCTGTGAATATCCAATTATTTTTAAAAACTAAACATGGTGCAAAATTGTTTTGACTAAAAGAATGTTTTAGAGGGATTGCATTCCGACCCCCCTCGTTTTTTCTTTTTTTTTTTTCTTTTTTTTTTTTAATGTTTTGCATGTATGTTTCTTCAACATAACGTGCCACACTTTTCAAGTGTGGATCTGGCTGAGGCGGATGCATCCTGCTGGCTGTGTGCCTCCCATCATTTTTCAAACGTTCACATATTTCATGAGCATTGATGGTATCCCCATATTGGTGCCCTGAGGACATAGGGAAGTGACTAGAGCAGCTAGGAAACGACTTTTGATTAATCTTCATAAGAAAAACTGAAAAAAACCAATTTTTCCATATTTGAAGACTGTTAGCAAGAAGTAACAAGTGTGTCAACAGTTCTGCACTGTACTGCCCTGGAATTACTTCTGAGCACTTCTGAGCTAGAGACTCACTCTTAGGCAAAGACTCCCTGCCTGTGAGTGACAGTTGTGTTGCTGTTCTTAATTTGTTTGTTTGAGTGATTGTTTTTTACCCATAAACCCCCACTGGGAGATAATATACCTCTTGATGTTGAGTAGTTTCTATTTTTTCATTACCATAGTAGGATGGGAGACACTTTCTGAGAGGTGGGAAACTAAATTTGAAAGGGGTAATGGCTTGTATTGCTTGTTCCAGTTAAGATAATATGTGATGAAAGTCACATTTGCTGGAGCCCATTCATCCACAATGCAGGGCACATCAGCTGCTTTTGGAAGTTAGCTGCTAGCAGAAAATCGTCAGCAACAATTTGGAGCTAGACTAAAGTGTTTGAGTTGGTTGAATATGAGATTTTTAACTTCTCTGCCTCAGGTGGTGGGATTGGGTGGAGATGTCAGGTTACCAGGAAAAAAAAAAACTTGGTCTTTGCAATGTCCCCAGAGCTGCTTTTACAGGTACCCAAAGAAGAGAGCCACCTTAAGAGAACCACAGTTCTTAATAAGTGCTGAAGATCTGATGGAATTCAATTTGGCTAGGGACATGAAGGGCAACAAGAGGAGCTTCTATAGGAATGTCAGGGATAAGGAAGACTAGAAAAATTGTGAGCCCTCTCCAGAAGGAATGGACAGACCTGTTTACCCAGAACCTGGGAGTATTCAGTGTCTTTTTTGCCTCAGTCTTCACCAGCAAATATTCCAGCTAGACTGCCCAAGTCCCAAAAGGGAAAAAGGCAGCAACTGGGAGAATAAAGAACTGCTCACTCTAGAAGATCAGATCCAAGAATACCCAAGGAACCTGGAGGTGCACAAGTCTATGGGACTGGGTGAGAGACACCTACACGCACCTTGAGGAGAGTGTGAAGTGAAGTGGCTAAGCCACCATCCATCATATTTGAGAATTTGTGGCAGTCCAGTCAAGTTCCTACTGAAATGTAACCCCATTTTTTAAAAAGGGAAATAATGAAGACCCAGGGAACTACAGGCCAGTCTAACTTTAGTGCCCAACAAAGATCATGGAGCAAATTGTCCTGGAAGCTATGCTAATGCATATGGGGAATAAGGAGTTCTGCTTGATCTGCCTGGAGAAGAGAATGCTCCAAAGAGACCTTCCAGTACCTAAAGCTGGCCTACAAGAGAGCTGGGGAGGGACTTTTTACAGGGGCATGTGGTGATAGGATAAAGGGAATGGCTTTAAACTGAAAGATGCATAGTTGAAATAATTCCTTTGCATATCTGCAGCAGAAGTGGGCCATATATGTTCTTTACATATGACTGATTCCTTAAGTAGATAGAAGATTCTAGGTTGCCTGTCAAAGCACAGCACTTTTTTTTTTTGGAAGTTGGTTCTTGCAGCTGAAATAGTTTGAAATTTTTGATATAAAGTCTACTGAAGAAAAAAAAACACCTGTTGATCTGTGATGGTAAGGTATTGCTTTGGCTTGGCAAAATATCTAAGGATATGTTGAACTCCTAAATTTGTGCTCACTTCTTGTTTTTTTGTTTTTGGTTTTTTTTTCAATTGAGGCTATATTAACATATTATATATGTTTTTTATTAAAGTTTGCATTCCCATAACAGAAGATTTGGGGCTTTAAAAAAAATATTAACACTCTTGTATCCATGACACTATCTATGAACTATCTTCACAGTTTTTCTGGAGTGACACCTTACTTGTAATTGTTAATAAACAAAAACTTGCCTGCATTTCATTATATGAATGAAATGCAAGGTGTGGGGCAGGGGGAATGTGGAAATACCAGATGTTTCTTCTGGTGCACCTTTACTTCTGTCCTATTGTGTACCTGTCTGAAGTGCTAATGCTACATATTTGCATGGTCTTTTAATTGTTTGGTTTGATTATTTTTATTGAAACAGGCAACAACAGAGAGACCTTTTATACAGAAGCTCTTTCGACCAATTGCTTCAGGAGGACAGTTGCATACTTTGGGAGACCTGCTAAAAGATGTGTGTCCTAGTGCTATCACCCCTGAAGGTACTGCAGAAATAACTTTTTGTCCAATAAGATAATTCTTTTTCTGTTGGTTTATTGGTTTTGGTTTGGTTTTTTTGTGTTTTTGTTTTTGTTGTTTTTAATATGAGTACTTTGGAGGGAGAACTAAAATGTCAGTACCAGAGTTTCAGATTTCATTAATTCCTGGCTCTTTACTGTGCCCTGCATGGTTTCAAGAAGGTAAGATTGAGTCCTTAGTCACTCCTGAAAAATCCATATCTAGAAATTTTATTCTGAAATTCCTGTACTCTTTTGGTGTTGTGATGATCATAGTAAAACTATTCACATGTTATTTTCTACACTTCAAAAAAAATTTATGAAAGTGTCAGCAGATTTTAAGTTACCTTTAATTTTACATTCTAAAAACTTTTTATATGTAAAACTCCAAAACTGATAGAAATTGAAAATGTTTCAGAATGCTTTTTTCTGTTCTTGAAGTCCAGCCTTTTAAAATGTACTAGCAAAAGATTTTTACAAGTATATAATAGTTTATGTATTATTACGAATTAATATTGTGTGAGCAATCAATGTAGCATATTATTTCATACAATAGCATTTGTTGATCTGCACTAATTCAGGAAATGGGTTTTTTTGGATGCAGTTTTAGTCTCAGAACTTACAAGTATTGGAACTGTGATACATGTTTTAGGGGGGATAAATGTAACAGTTATGTACTCTGCAAATTAGGATCAAAATTATTTAATGCAAAAGGTTTTTTATTTGTTCTTGTTGTCGTCTTACCAGTACCTGTAAATGAGGAACTTGCAAGAAATTTGTGATAGTCTAGAGAAGATCTTGGCACAGAATATAGTGGTGTAGTATCAGCATCTTTTAACAGTGAAGCACTGAATTGGAAATCAATATAAAATTCTGCAAGATTTTGTTGTATACAGAAGTTGCTTGATTAAAAATTAAACAGTTGTCACAGATTTCTCCCAGTATCAGGATCTTAGAAATTCACTGAAATATCCAAGTACTTTTTTTTTCCTTTCTTTAATACTTGTTAACACATGATAACAATTTCCAAAAATAACAGGAGGTAAGAAAAATATGGAATATTGCTAACCATGTGTCGATTTTTCATAAAGCTATTTTAAATTTTGGAGCATTATTTTAAGTAATGCTTTCCACTAACTGTCCAAAAGATAAAGGGAGATACCAATAGATACATGAATGTTAGCACCAGTGAGTTTAACCATCTTTAAGTACTTCACTGTCAGTATCATACACACCCTACTGAAAAGGTACAGAGGGAATTTTAAAAAATCATTGAGAAGGATGGATGCATTTTAACTTGAAAGGCAGTCGAGCACAAATTAAATGAAAGAAACTCATAAGCATTTATGCACAAGTTATTCCAGGATTTAAGGGATGACAATTTTTATGCACATTTGCCAAAGCTGCAGATGGTGAATGTGCTAGTTAACTGCCCTTATTGAAAGTGTGAATGTAATACAATTCTATCTGAATACCAGTGATGGTACTTCCCATCAGTAGGCCTTCTTTTCAGATGTTGACAAAAGCACCAATCTTGGATAGCAGAACAGATATATGCTGTGCTAATTGCTTGCTTCATTTTTGTTAAAAGTTAAAAAAGCTTACATTTATTCAACCGGGACAAAAAAAAAAAACTTGAAAGAAGAGAAACTAAAGTAGGTATTGTTCTTACACATACAAGGAGGGATGTGAAATTTGGTGGGTTTTGGAGTGTTGGAATGTACTTGTCTGTTTCTGTATACATCTGCTTAAATTTGACCCAGTTTTTACTGAGCAACTTGCAAACTTTAGAGTTTAATAGATCTGGTCCCTCACATGGGTGTGAGCTATCCAGAACTCGGCACATTTTCTCCTGTAACACAGCTTTGTGTCGTAGTTCAGTTGTTCCTCTTGTGTTGTGAGTGTTCTCCCCTTCTGGTGTGCTGGAAAGCCAGGGAAGCTGTCTGAGCTAAATGCAGAAAACAATGTGGGCTTCTGAGGAGATGTGGGGGTAGACTGATACACAGAGCCAGTGGAAGTCAGAGTCTGACTGAGCAAGTAATTTGGAAGAAAATGACAGATCTGGGAATCATTAAATGCTATTGGGAGAGTGACTGTAAACAATGTGGCAGAATGAAAGAGATTGGGGCAAAAGCCAAAACCTGACATAATAAATGCAAACACCTGGACAGAGTAAGTGGGGTAGGAGATGATAAAAGGATGAAGGAGAAGAAGCATCTTGTTTGTGGAGCATGCACAGAGCTTGTGCAAGGCATCTGTGAAAGAATGGTGAGTAGATATCCTGCTGGCCAAGTGATTCAGAGAAGGGATTTGGAGGAGCAAATTGAATCAGAAATTGAAAAGAAGGGTAGTTTGTGCTGGCAGAATGACGAGCTGCAGGTGAAGAGGTGGTCAGGTGGAGCTGGGGATTGTCTGATGAAGGACTGAGGAAAGCCTGTTCAGGGTTGCTGTACCGCAGACAGGAATACAAAGCAGAGATTTAGGCATGGCAACATGGAAAGTAAAGAAGGAAGAAGCAGAATTAGAACAAAACAGAGGGATGATCAAGAAAGGTTCAGGCATAAAGGAAACTGACCTGAAAAGATGGATGCCCATGACAGCAGTGATTCTTACTGCTAAGGGTCATGGACAAGGAAGGACAGTGCTGGTTTAGGCTTGACTGCTAGAGGTCATCATACTCTGTTCACTGATTATTCAATCTAGCCAATAAATGCAGTTGATTATTCTCTTTCTTGACTAAATCCACTCATTCATTATTCAGATGTAATGTGCACTATATTAAGTGTTCATGCTCTAATACAGCTTTAAGCTATTAAAAAACCATTTAACTCACTAGACTGTTTAGTGCCATTTTTGAGTTTTGCCTGTAGAAATGTTAGCAGCCATAATGAGGAAAAGCATCACCCTTTTCCACCAAGTAGACTAAACTCCTGAGACTGCAGAAGCACAGGACATCTGTGCTATTGAAGTCTCCATGAAACTCATTCAGTAAAATAATTTTCTCTCTGATGCTGGACCACTGAGAATTTAACAAATTTCCTATGTCAGCAGATGTTCCATCAGTTCAAAATACAGAAGAGGTACGGGTATAGGAGAGTTTCATTTGCAAGCATGTTTTGGAAACCTGGGATACTACACCTAAAAGTTTTACTTCTGAAGCAGTTGTCTTAATTTGAAGTTGAATATTTGAAGTTTAGAAGGTGTCAGAGCTGTAGACTGGCTGTACAATCATAATTTCCTTACATACTTACCATTCAGCTTATAGTCACTCTCTGCCTCTCATCTCTCTTTGTCTTCTATGAGACTATTGTCTTTCTGCCCAGGCTGGGCATGTTGTAGTGTCAGGTGTGTGTAGTGAAAAATCACAGTCCTGATTCTTGAAGGGATAAATCAAGAATTAATGTGCTTCAATAAGTATTATAATTTAGGCAGCTGAATACTGCCTTTGGGAACATAATTTAATTATTTTTCCCCTGGAGAATTCATTCATATGTAATCACAGGCAAGCTGAGTGTTACAAATCCACACATTTTATAGAGAGGAGCATCAGAAAAATCCAGTGATCAGTGTGATTGTTCTGCTGAACAGTTTGCTTGCTTGTGCTTGAAATCAGTGAGAACTCTGGGCCTTTGAGTGTGCAAACCCTAGGCACTTTCTGAAGTTTACGCCTCTCATAACTATTCTTTTGTCCCACCCTCCAAAAAACTTAAATTTCTGACTATAGTATCACTTTGACTTCAATTTGTGATCTCTAAAATGATGATAATTCAGGAGACTCTTGTTAAAATGGTTTCTAAAGGAAAAATAGATTGTAGTCAGACATTAAAAATTGTCCTCTTTGGATCTTACTTAGTGTCTTCTAATAGTTTTCTTGTAAACCTGTATGTTTTGTCTTAATCTACACTTTATTCTGGTGGAGGCATTAAAATAATATTGTAACAAACCAGAATACATTATCAAAGGTTTATTAGAAAATAATTAAAAACTTTTTCATGTCTAGATTTTCAGACTATTCAGTTATTGAAGTTTAGATTTACTTAATTTTTCTGAAGAAAGGAAATAAAAGTAGTATCTCATCAAAAGTATGCTTAAAAATATAATAGATACTGGAGAAGCAGGTTTTTAAAATCTTTTTGCTCTTCTTTTCAAAGCCATTTAGATAATTTTCCAAGCTGTATTTAACCTCCCTCTTTAGTGAATTGATTCACTGGTGACATTAACTGCATCTTTTCTTCGGTGCAACAAAATCAGTATGAGTTTTTTCTTTCTGTTTTTCTCCATCTGTTGACTTCCCCCCCCCCCCCCCCCTTTTTCCTCTATGGTTTTCTCTTTTCCAATGACTTTTCATTCAACTGGAAGCTTCACGGTAATTGTGGTGGTTGCTTGTCTGTGGTGACATCCGTAACTGAGCTTTGTGCCGTGGGAACACAGAGAATATATGGTTTTCAGACTCTGCATTTGTAGCTGTACACTGAGCTGTTCCTGCTGCCAGATTCTTAAGGACCACCACAAGAGGAGGGAGGGAAGGGTTTCAAGAACCACCCACAGTGTCTATATGCCTTTACTTTAGGAAGCATGGATATAATTAAGTCTTCCTTTTAACTGTGCTGAGAAAAATGTTTCAGTGAAAAAATGTATTTACATATATATGTGGATTGAATATTTGCATTGATTACCAACTGTTGAGAACACGGTGTAAAGAGCACTGTCAAAAGAACAGGTTGAATAATGACATTAAAAGATTGATAGTGAAAATGGTCTTTTAAAATGCTGTGTCAATGTTATTTTGGACTGTTATGGACTGCGGGTAACTATTTAGAATACTGTATTTTATTTAAATTAGCTTATGAAACTATTTATTCAAGGCTTTTATTGTTCATTGAAGTGCTGTAAAAAATGAGAACTTTGAACTGTTATTATCCCAGCCTATACTTTTCTCTCTCCTCAGAGAGAGGTCCTTTAATTGATTTTATATATATACATAA